ATATATATATATATATATATATATATATATATATATTTATATGTACAGTCTGGCAATTACTTTTTAGTCTGCTGTGTTTCAGTACTAATCTTGGGTTGGTAAGAGAAGATTTGTCTGTTTTAGAGGGATTTGGGAGCATCCAGTTCTGAAAACAATAAACTTATATAATAAGTAGTATCTTCTACAGTAGCTTTGGATGAACTATATTTGCTCTATCTAGTATATACAGCATGCAAAATTATACCCAAAAAACTGAAAGGTTGTTCATCTGCCTTTGTGCATGTGAAGGTGTTTCCAGAAGTAAATCAAAACCACACATTTATTTTTAACAATGAGCTGCTCCTGTGGAATTCTTTGCCCACAACCCACAGTATAAAGCTTGCATTAAAGCCATGGAATGTCTTTTTTTTTTTATTTTATTTTTTTTTAGGATTATACAGTTAATCTGATGGACGCTACATTGGTTTAATCCACTGTAAAGAAAATACTACAGGTACATGTTAGATTAAACCGTAGGCTACTGAAGGACAAAGCATATCCAACCAGCAGGTCTTTCTATCGTTAACTGTCACCTTCTGTTGTGGCAACATTGTGCAGCAGCTGGTGAGCTCAAAGTCTCTGAAGGCATTTGTCTGTGGTCCAAACAATCTTTTGATTTAAAAAAAAATAAAGGAAATACCTTCAGTGTTCAGATATTTTTTTAACCCTCTTGAGAGAAATATGGCATAAATACATCGTATTAAAGTCAAGTATCAGCATATATATCTTTTAGTGTCTCAATCCCATCCTGATAAAAGCTTCCTCAGTGATTCCAGTGCTGCTGGTTTAAGGCTGCTTCATTAACATACATGAGAAATGCTTCCTAGGTTATAAGTGGCCGATTCACACTTAGGCCTGATCTAACTCAGTAATCCTCAGCTTGTTCTATATGGTACACTGTAGCACAATGTGCTAAACAGATGTTAAAATCAAAAGAAATAAATACAGATAAGCTACAAAAATGAAATATTATCTATTAGACAAAAAAAGATTGTAAATGGAAATTATTATGGAAACTAAACACTTAAAACATCAGCATTCTTGTTAGGTTCTTGTATTAAATGAACTTAAATATGCATTTGTTTAAATTATCATAAATTCTTAATAAAATTAAGCCCAAACTAAAGTTGCAGTGGTTAACTTTATCAAACTTCAGTATAATACTTCCAGACTTTTTTAGTCAAATGCTGAAGCTGTTAATAGTCTCTGCTGGCACACTCTGGTTTAGGGGGAAACTGCTTGTTTCGCCATATATCCCTATATAACGATGTTAAAAAGTAATTTAAAAAAGTCCTGTATCCAAATTTAGTGGATTGTTGGTGTGAGGCGCAATCATAAATTTCAGGTATTCCTGCAAATAAATCAGAACCATAGCAGAGGTAATAAGATGACAGCAAGATGCTACTTCTCTCTCCACAACAGATTTATAGAAGATCAGTAACATCCTACAGCAAACATTGAGGAACAGAAGTTTCCTCCATTTCTTCTCTGAATACGAATGACAGTGTTTGACATGAAAACAGAAAACTAAGCCCCAGTCTGTTCCCAGAACCCTAAACCAAGAAAGAAGGAAGCTTCCCCATGGGCTCTGTTTTTAACTTTAGGATCTTATATAACCAATGACTCAGGAAAGACAAAAAATATAAAGGTTTAAAACAAAAATTAAAGAATGTTAACTTTCTAGTCTTTGTAGCAGAGATGTGCTCCTCTTGGAGAGACCAAAGATCTAATCATTGCAATATACATTTGGACATACACTAAAAACATGTTTAATGTCTACAGATTGGACAGAGATACATGTAAGATATAGACATGTAAATATATAATTTATAATAAAAGCTATTCATCTATGCCTTTAAAGTCTCTCAATGTGATCTTACATTAGAAAATATAAAAGTCACAAGTTGGTAAAAAAAGAAATTAAAAGAAAAGACAGAATATGATCTTGTCGGATCATACCATAGGTTTTTGAGCCTTGGAAAGCTGGACAGGAGGAGCAGATAGACAAAAGCATGTTGGAAAGTGTATAAAGCTGTAACAATTTTAGAGCTCATTGGGGTTTATTAGGCATATTAACAGTTATATTTTATATTCTCTACAAAAATGGACTGAAATTGAAGGAGACAGCTGAGAAATGCTGCAAAAAAAGCTCTAGAGATCATTTTCACCTAAAATGTTTGGGCTGGGGCTGCAAGATGGGGTAGTTGGTAATGCTGCTGCCTTGCAGTAAGACTCTTTCATTGCTGATTAATCGTCTCTATGCATGGAGTTTGCATGTTCTCCCTGTGTATGTGTGGTTTTCTCCGGGTACTCGTGCTTCCTCCCACAGTCCAAAAACATGACTGTTAGGTTAATTTGTTTCCCTAAATTTTCCTTAGGTATGAGTGTGCCCTGCGACAGACTGGCGACCTGTCCAGGTGTTCCTCGCCTCTTTCCCGATAGGAACCGACCCCACCGCGACTCTGACAAGGACTCAGTGGGAGAAAACGGATGGCTGTTTGGGCTGCTCCAATGAGAGCAGCAATATTTTACTTTGTTGATGAGAAAGCACCTGCTTTGGTTTAAACTAAATCTATAAATATTCAAATCTCTTCTAACCTCTACCTTTATGTGACTGGTCGAAAGGAATTTCTAGAATCCTCTTTTGAAAAATATTATCAAAATTTGGTGTGATAAACATCACTACTTAAATCATCCTAACTCAGATGATTATTGTGCAATCCAGACTCCTTCAATACAATGGTTAACCGGTTTATTACCTCCTCAAAATTGAATTATCTTAATTTAAACATTCCAGAAACCATCAATAAATGAGCTCCTCATTTCATCGTTTCTGGGAGTGTTCAAAGTTGAGTTTTTGGAGAACAGTAAATTTACTCCCTTTGGATCCGTCACAGTGCATTTTTAAAAGGTACCCAAAAGACTTTTTACCAGTTGCAAGCAGATTACTGATCTGTTTTAATGAGGGTTAATTTTGTTATTTAGTTAATTTAAGACTTATTTCTGCTGAAGGTTACTATTCATTGTTTATCTGTGACATCCTGCAGCCAGCTCCATGCTGAGCAGCACGTCTCCAATTGATCTCTCCGTGGACAATTGGAGCAGCCGTCTAAGAGTTAGACGGATGCTCCAGTTGTTGCTTTATCATGACAACCATCTGCATTTATGTTAGAAGAAAAGGGCCTTGTGGGTTCCTGTTATTTATTTAGGAAACTTAGCGTGTGTGTGTGTGCATGCTTTTAGTGTTCTGCTGCAAATAATATCGCCACCCTGACTGGGTGAGGATAAATACTGACGACCAAACGTATTCTTTGCTTTCACTCATTTGGCTATGTGGTCGTCCAGGCCTTGGGTAATTTCTATTTCTCTGTAATATGTGCTTATTATCAAAGTTTTTTTCATATGACTGGAATAAAATCTGTTAATACTTAAAGTGGTTTTTCCTTTTTTTGCAATACTCTGAGAACTGACCCTCAAGGAGAAAAAAAACATAGATCAATGTTGTTCTCTATACCTTGTTAAAAATAATACAATATATGAAAGAAGGCGTACCCTTCCTCACCCAATAACCACTGTAGACGGGCATCAGCAATCCTTCCTTGGATTCAACAGCATTACTGAAGACACTTGTTAGGCTAAATTAGACATTTTTTTCCAATATTTCTACCATGTCAGCTGTTATGTTTCATTCTCACTCCTATGTCCGTGCTCAACATGCAGTTAATTACTGCCTAGAGCATGTGTCAGCAATTTGCAGCTCAAGAGCCACAAGTGGCTATTTGTAACCTCTGTGGCTCTTAATGAATGCCTAGAATGATATAAAGAAGCAACTAATGTAGTATAATAAATGCTAGTCTTAAAGGCTTTTGAGAGTTTGGTAAAAGAATATTTGATATCATTTTCATAGCAAAATGACATTAAAAGAACCAGACATGTTTTTAGATCTGCTTTTCTTGTAAAACTTTGGAACTATTTCAATTCTTTTTTCTAATCATTACATTCTATGGAAGAAAATCAACGCTTCAACTTTCTGAAACATCTTTTTCCTTATTTTAAAAGCTAAAAGTACAAATTAACTGTTGGTTGTTCGAAATTGTAACAGCTTTACTATATCAGACTCTTAACAGAAAAATCATAAGCAGTGTTTTTTATTTTAGGGTTTATTATCTTAGGGGTTCTAAATTATTTTTCCTCAGCTGGAGGAAACGGCTCTTTAGATTTTCCCGTAAAAATTCAAAAAATATCCACTGGACTTGGTTTCCAAGATTTTAAGACGTTTCGCCACCTCTCCAGGAAGCTTTCTCAATTCCTTTAGATTCTCAATTCCTTTAGATTCTCAATTCTCTTTAGATTTGAAGATTGCAGACCTGTGGTCAGGTTAAATAAATAAAATGAATAAGGAGCTCCAGCCTCCAGGCTAAAAATCTTGGCAATGTGCTGAGGAGGTTACATCCAAATCAGACGTTTCAGGAAATAGACTCAGGAGATCATGGTTTAGATCGACTGCATCGAAGCCCTGGAAACACCCAAGCCTTATTTGGGCTCAAGGCTCTCAGGTCTCAAACTGAGCAGTGGGTCCATCTACTGGACAACATGTGGAATTTAATGCAACAAACCATTAAGTGTAAATTTTAATGAGAACATAATGTTCCTCAGAAACCTACACATGCATACTGATAGTGCTAATCCACCCAGCAGCTAATCAGTGCTGCTCAAATGTCTTTGTCAGGAAAGGAATGGTTGACTTCGCTGTAAATGAACAGAAACCAAAACATTAGAACCCTGATGAAAGAAAAAGTTGAACTTAGCGTTTATCTTAAATTCAGTCGGAGTTTTGAAAGATAGGAAGCCAGTTTCTGACCCAGTGGTGCATCGACGAATTGATCACATCACAATTGATACATCACAGCGCCCCCTACTGTCTACTACTATTCCATTTCTGACATCTACATTTGTACTGTTAAATTCTCCCCACAATAATAAAAAAAAGTTTTCACTAATGTTAGAAAAAACATAATTTATCCCCTTCTAAAACCTAGAAATGTTCCTTTGCTTTGCAGGAAAAGAGTTGGAACTGCTGCAGCAAAGAAAAAACAAAACAACAGCTCACCCAGATGGATAAATCTGATTTAAGGAGCTTTTTACTCAGTTACTACAGAACACCAACAGAGGAGGATTTAAAGGTCCAAGAACTTTGATCACCACAGTCAACCAACACAGAAATTGTATAGCTGTAACTCTCTCAAATAAAAAAAGATGTTTCTGTGTGATTTTAAACCATCAGATCTGGACTGTTAACAGAGCGTATCATGGGGGTGGGGGGTTGGCCGTGGTGGCCTTCAGGATGCCTCGCAGCACCTTGTAGTTGCTGAGGGGTTGGTTCTCCTTGGGGGGGAAGCAGGGGCCGCGCTCTGTGGCGTAGGAATAAGGAAACCGGAGCACCCAGAAGCCATCGGGTGGCAATACAACCTCAGTCTGCTCTGGGTGGAAGATCGGGCAGGGAGGGGGTCCGGGCTGAACCTGTAAGCAGCAAAAGATAATGAGCTCTTTAAAAGCACCTTTACTGCTTGCAATATTGAAACAGAGACAGACCCTTCAGGCTGCTTACCTGGGGGTTGAGGGTTATCTCCAGAGGAGTGTCAGGCACCACGATGAAAAGACGAGCCAGTTGAGCGAAGTGCGGCTTCAGGCCCCTACCCTGCGATGGAGATGGAACATACAGAGGCATGTCTGTGTTCAGCACCCTGGTGGCGGGATCTTTGGCTCCCCCTGGTCCAAGAGCCTTTACTATTTTATCAGGCCCGCTGCTGATGAAGCGTCTCCCCCTGCTGTCTTCGTACTCAAACCCTACAAACACCCGAGCCACGTCGTCCCGCCTGCGGTTCCTGCCGAGGCCCCCGGTGCTCCCCCGCTTCCCCACCATGCTTTTGTTTGGAGCTGGCCAAGAGGAGGCGCCGCCATCCAGAGGCTCCGTCAGTCCCGTGTCCTCCTCTGATCGGGAGCGGATAACCAAGTCCCATGGAAGGAGGAAGGAGGAACCTGGGAGGAATCCTGGCTGCTCCAGACCAGTGTGGAAGTTGTAGGACTTTGCTGGGCCCAGTTTGAGCAGAGACCAGCTGGAGAACTTCGGGAGGAGGCCTTTAGGACAGGTAGAGTGCGTCATGCCGGGGAGATACTCCACCGTGGAGGGCTGACGGTCAATGAGGCTCGGCCTCTTTGGTTGGACTGGGTTTTCGGTCCCGTCTCCGTCCCCGTAGGTCCCCAAGCTGTCGGTGGACTGGCCCAGGCTGAGAGCCAGGCTGAGGCTTGTGTCCCCTGGCGTGTGGCTCTGAGCGGTGCTCGGTTCTTTCAGTTTCTCTGCATCCCCCAACGCTTCAGATGGGAGCCGTTGAACCTGGTCCGAAGCTGGCGCCGGGTCAGGAGTGCTGGGCTGAAAGACAGGAAAGTCGATCCTCTCCAGCTTCCCACAGCACTTCTCCTCTAGGACCTAAACACGACAAAAACACAGCAGAACAAAACTAGAACAGCCGTTCCTGACAAAGCGCCATCTGCTGCTGGATTTATGAAAGGGAGGAATAAAGGATAAATAGATGGATGGATCCAGAAGCAGTAATATTTACATAAAATCCAAGACTCTCCCAGAAGAGTTAGAAGCTATAAAAACATTAACGGTTCTTCTGGACAAATCATGGAGAGGTTTTTTTTTTCAGTTTAAAAGATCACTATAAAAAGTTCATATGGAGGAGCAGAAAGTAAGATTTGCCTTTAAAGTTCACTGCTGCCCGTGTTCTCACTAGAACTATGAAAGTGGAGCTCTTCAGCCCCGTTCTGAAGTCCTTCCACTGGCTCCGTGTAGCTCAGTGAATATACTTTAAATTCCTTCTGTTAGTCTAGAAATCACTGAATGGATCATACACAAAGGATTAGTTGACAGTGTATCAATTCAACCCATCTGGAATGAGCATTCTTTAAACCAGAGGGTGCCTTAGGGCAATAACAATTAAAGAAGATACAAGACAGAATTGCTGCTCTAATATGAATTTGTTTTTATGCTTAATGGGAAGGAGTTTGTCTCTGCAGTCATCTAGGAGTCTTCTATGTAATTAAAGATAAAGAATAGCTGCTCAACCCAACGCTCAATCCCCTTTTTAAGATTAGGTTACATGACTAGTGTCCCTGAGAGAGCACTTCCTGACCTGGTAGAAGTCATAATTGGCAGCCTGGATGTCAAATGGATCCTCCCGAGGAGCCTGCTTCCTGCCACAGTTACAGGAGCTGGTGGAGCGCCCCCTGCTGTTGTGATTCATGATGGGCGGGTTGTGGTCAATGTCGGGCTTCTCACCTGGGAATATATCGTTACAAACTCTGTTGAATTTTGGAACTTTTTAGATGCATCAGAGACACAGAAAACAAACTTCCTGAGAGAATTGGTAGATGTTTCTGACCTGGCTGAGGCAGCAGGTGGAACTTGTGCACACAGTGTTGGTCTGTCAGGCTCCGCTCCTCACAAAGCTGGTGGCCGTTGCTCCAGAACTTGTAGCAGTCCTCGTGAAGCTGCAGTGCGTAGCGCTGGAAGGCCACGCCCCTGGCATGCTGGCTGTACACCCGTAGCGCATGTGCCAGCTGGTTTTTGTGCACTGTTGTAGTGTAGTTGTGTGGGAGGTTGGACTGGTAGGCACTGTGAGCTAGTGGTAGCGCTTTCTGACAGCGATTTTCAGAGAACTTTGTGTCGGCATCTAGAAACCCATCCAGAACCTTCACCTGGCTTTGCACCTTGGTGGCTAGTTCAGCTAGCTCCTCGTCTGTGTTGGTAATCAGGACTTGGTAGAGTCTGGAAGCCACCTGGACCCACTTAGTGTAGGTCGGCAGCTCAAAGTGCGAAGGTTGGGGGTTGCGGCCGACGCTGTCGTCGAAGCCCTTCTTGGTCAGGACCAGCTCCACGTGCTGCCAGAGGAACTCCTTCAGGTTGAAGTCCACCAGCTGGCCGCCCATCGACATGCTGCTGGAGTCTCCCCCGCTGGTGGGCGGCCGAGCCGATCGTCGCATCTGTTGGTATCTCCTCGGCCCGGTCAGAACCGGGGCAGGGTCCTGTTCAGACAAGACGCAGTTGGACCGTAGCTGGCCAAGCAAAGTGCTCACCGGGTCCGGTTCTGCTGCTGGTATCACGTAGACAAAGGCCTGGTTGGCCGGCACCGTGAACAAACAGTTACTGCTTTGGTTGGTCAGGACCCGACTTTTACGGAAGATCCGGTAAATCTGGTCCTCCAGAGCGTGCTGCAGGCGCCTCCTTGGGGAATGCTTTTTAGGTTTATCAGGGTTTCCTCCAGATTCTGAGCCGTTCCCAGAGACCTTTAGACCAAAAAAGCAGAGAGAATGAGAACCACTGGACCTGTCAAAATACCTTCCTGAATCAGACTCATATCTGATCTAAGAGGAAGGAGAAGAGGTGAGCTGTTAATTATTGTGCATCACAGCTCTGGAAAACCTTGAATCTGCAGATGCTTTACAACTAAGAAGATAGCTTCCTTATTATAGAGAGCAGTTTCATTAAAATTACATGAATAAATAAATACATGAATAAACAAATAAATGTTAATGATAAAGTTAACTTGTATAAAATATTAATACATATTTCACCATAAAATAACACTAAATATTTTTAAACACATGATCTTATTTTAATTTATTTATTTCAAAATAAACTTTTATTTTATGAGACTTTTATTTTGGAAAGCGAGTTTACATATTTCAGTGACTTATTTTTTTGAAGCCTGTTTTCCAGTTTCAGCTTTTTATTTCATGTTCTTATTTCCAAATGAGGCTGTGGGGTAAATAAATCTGGAAGTGAATAAATAAATCTTGAAAAATAAAATGTAGATAAAATAATAGCTTTGGTGAACTTTTTATTCCATTGCATCTTTAATAATGATTTTATTTGAAATTTTTTTTTTAAATATTTAATAAAAAAAAAAAAAGTCGGGTCCTGACCAACCAAAGCAGTAAAATATACACTCATATGTTTACATTATTGTTTTAATGCTATTTTTTTTACTGTTATCAAGGCTGCACTTTAAAAAAATGAAATAGTCTAGAGAGCTATTCTTAACAAAATTTCTTTTTGTTTACACTTTTGTATACAAAATGACTAAATAAATCTGTCTAAGTCTATTAATACCATTTATGTGTGTGTGTGTGTGT